GTCAGGTACGGATGCCCTTCCCATAGGTGGATCTCTCCACTCGATGTTTCAGAGAACCGGGGTTACGACAGTAACCTATTGTTATCATTAGCTGTGGTGTGAACTCAGCTATTCTTTCATTTTAAGAACGATTTTTAGAACTTGCCTTGCCTTGAAGCAAATATGTGTTTTAAACTATATTTTAAAAAGATTTTCCCTTTTTTATTGACAAGACACTTATTTGTCATTGACCCTACTACAAAAGACCATGCAATTGTTTAATCTCATCTATAATGTTATAAGAAAATTAAGATTTATTTAAAGCAACTAAAGTTGCTGATAGGCTAAAGTACTTATATACGCTTGGAACTGCTAAATCTACACACCATAAAACCCACTATATTTGAGCTAAACATTAGAAATTCAAATGCCAATCAATCCTGGATTTTTTTAATAGAAAACCAGTAAGCATGAAAATAGGTCAGGATGTCTTCTGAGCTACTGATAAGAGCACACAGTCTGCAACCACCACCTTCAGGGCAAAAGCGGAGGATGTTGAACTGACCTGTGCTATGCCTGACCAGCATGCAAGTGGAAGTGTCCCTTCCACTCACACATCATATCTACAACGACCGATTATGGTCCGGCGAGGCTCCCAGGGTTCACCAGCCACTTTGTGGATTCTCTCGTCACAAAAATGAGAAATAAAGCCTTGTTTGCAAAATCAAAAGTTGCAATTACAAGAATAAACACACCATGCACATTATACATATATATATATATATATATATAAAAAAAAAACAATACTATGATGACTAATATCAAAGCTTTAAAAAAAGGTGCAGTCACATTTACAGTTGGACAAATTTTCAGTCAAAATCCAGTCATTTCAAAAGCAATCCGCGCGATCAGGAATTCCGTGAACTTTCGCAACAGGTTCAAAGTTAGTCATGTGAATTCGCCGCACAGACCAACAGAAAGTTACTTGGTTTGAAAGTGACTTCTGTTTGAACTGCGCATTATGAATCGCCACATTATTGACTATAGACAATGGACTATTTTATCCACAAAAGATGGAACTCACCCGTGTGTGCATGATGGGACACGATCAGTTTACTCCTTAACATAATTATCCAAACACTTGTAGAAAATTTAGGAAAAAAATCAATCAAAAATGCAGGTTCGCCTGATAAAAATGTGTAATGTGGAAAAGCATTACTTTACTGATACAATAAACATTGGAGTTCTAATGGTGCAGAGGAGTGAATCTGAGGATCAAGCTTCGAGTAGGCTTACTTGTCTTCCATGCAGGTCATTTCAAATTAGAAAGCTTCTGAAAATTTGGCCAATGTGGTTGTTTGCAGAGAAGTAAATGCACATGTGCTGGTTTATTTTAACTGCATCCGGTTGTGCAAATATTGTGGGCTCCATGCAAAAGGATGCACTTGCAAAGAATAACAAAAATGTGTGCAAGCATAGCTGCCTAATAATGTTTCCCGTCTGGAAATGGAGAGACACTTATGTGGGTTATGTGGGCGTTTAAAATTGCTTCTGCTAATTTGCATTGCAATCTTTTTACAGCCCCCATTTGGCTAATTTAAAAAAAAAAAAGTCATTGACCTCACTGGAGACTCAGTGTAGCAGCAGACCTCCAACCTAAACACCCACACCAGTACAAAACACATTATTCCAGAAAATAAAGCCTCACAGTTACACACATGGAACCTTAGAAAACATTATGCATATGCTTGAATGGTCATAAAAAAAAAGTCTGATTAAATTGTTACTTATGGACCAAAAAATAAGGATTTTCTGGGTTCAATCATTTTTTGAAAAAAAAAAGTAGCTTCCCAAACTATCTGTCTATCTGTCTGTCTGTCTGTCTGTCTGTCTGTCTCTTTGGACAGGAAAGGGGTGTTTAGACAGGCTGTCAGACTTGTACTGAAAGGAAATCTAATATTATATACAACATTTCAACACACAAATCTAATTTAATATAGATACAATTGACACATACTGCAGCAGATGAGTTGACAGGACGTCTTTATTGTTTGAAAGCAGCATTTGCTTACTTTTAACACAATTGTTTTTCAATATTGGCATAACTCATGTGGACCGTAAACCACGTTTAGCCCAGTTCCTGTTTGTAGATTGTTACATGCTCAAGTACAAAAACCATTACCCAACTGCTTGAGCCAGGAATTGACATGATAGGACACATTTACAACTTAGTGGAGTAAAATGTACTTAAATACCTAAGATCGAAGCTCCAATGAGCTTCATCAATGAATTTAAGTGAATAAAACAGTTGAGGTAAGCTCAGTTTCAGCAGGGCACACACCCTCATATGGCTCACAGGGCAAAACTTAAAATAGATAATAGTTAGAGAGTTTCTAAGTCAAAATCAGTTTCAAAAACCAATTACATATCACAGTCATGCATGCCTACTTACAAACTACAACCCCACTCTTTCACAAAACTGAACAGCTCAAAATGGTGGAAAAAATTAAGATAATCATCAGCTCCAGCATTTAACACTTTCCTAAGCTTCATGTATGATAAAGGAGTGGTTTTATGCCAATTAAGCAATGTAAAAAAAAATAATAATACAGTAATGTACAGTATGTTGGTCCTTCAATAACCGCATGCTAAGATAATGTGAAACTTCCATCCAGGAATTTAACTCATCATAAATTATCAGTCTTTCTGCATTGTTACACATCAGCCTTGATTGAAAAATCCTTAAAAAAACAACACCACACAATTAAGGTTAAGTTTGAGTTTGGGGGAATAAAATAAATAATCCTTAGACTCAAAACTTGTCCTTGATAAAATTATGTCCTTGGCCTTTTTTTAATACTGATAAAGGCACTCATTGGCATAAAGTGTGAAAATATGGTAATGGTAATTCCTCAATACTCAAGATACTCAAATGACGGCACACATTTTCTGTTGCTATCAGGGCAAACCTCAAGAAATCAGTTAAAAACACTCCTCGTCACAGTTCACCCCAAAATCTAAAGAACAAAAAGGGCCTTTTTAATGACAATTAATACTTCTGGAAGTACACATTTATGTATTTATGCAGCATTATTTGTTGCCCAATCTATCAGGGAATATCAGTGAAAATTGTCAAATTGTCCGTTTTTGGTCTAGGCCAACTTAGATACTTAATGCACAAATGTGTACACAACCACTTCAAGCTAAAAATGTCAACGCATTTCATAATCAGTTCCAAGTCCACTTTTTCAGTGTTGCCACAGAAGGCGCCATAGCGCAAGTTTTCTAATTCTACATTTAGAAAACTGAATGTAGAATTAGATGATGGAACAACAACCGTTTGAAGAAAATCTCACAAACTAAGTTATTACTAAGTTAAACTGTGGACATGTTTACAGCTAGCTATCTGAATGCTAACACACCTTCTTTAGATGGCAGAAACATTTAAAGGCAACTCCATTGTCCCCTTTAAGAGAAAAAAAGAAAAGAAAAGTAAATTATATCATCATTTACACACCTTCACGTCGTTCCAAACCCTTAAGACAAACCTGAGAGATTTTGGTCTCTTCATTGAAAGTCCAAAACTTGGGCAACCAAAGTACACCAAACTAACAGTTTCAAAAAGTTCAAGTGAGAACCAATGAGGTTTGTTCTCCGGTGTCAAGAAAGTACCATTGAGTTTACGTCTATCATATTTGCCATGTTCTAAGCATGCGTTGTTCTAAGCAATGTTCATAAATCGTGTGTCTTTAGTAGACTTGGATTAAACCACTTGATTGCTTTTACGATCTCTCTGTGAATATTTTAAAGCATCAAAGTGGAAGATTACCTTTGAAAGTCAATTCAAGTTTTTCCTCAGGCTTCACGAAATCTCTCAGGTTTCATAAAAAAAAAAAAAATGTCTGTGTTTTTTTGAAGATAAACAAAAGTCTTAGGGGTAATTGATGAAAGAATATTCATTTTTGGTACTGAGGTTTCTGGCTTTATACATTATAGTGCATATTTCCTACAACTGTCTGTCAGTGATGTATATTCAGACTAACCTGGAGTGCATGCGTTACAGCTAGCACCTACAAGATTTAAACCTAATTCCCTGTGTGCAGTTTAACACACACACACACACACAAATGCCTATTAATAAGTCAAGGAAACAAGTTACTGGGCAGACCACAAAATGGCTGCCATTACATTCAGAGAACCCATGATTCTTGTGGAAACAGTAACAAAACTGGTGATTGACTATTTACATGTTCCAGACCAGGTGTCCAGCACCTTATCAGGCAAAAAAAAGTCTATCGTATGATTGGTGCCCCTTCAACCATGTCAAAATTGGCTCATTCCACCACTGCGTAACATCAATGCCTGATTCCCAAACACATATAACACAAATGATAATTAAAGATAACCAGCCAGAAGGTTATCGCAGTTTCATTGGCACGCGAACCATTCACTCCCTCTTCTATGGCATTTGTGCCTCGACGTGTTCCAAAGCCTCTCATCCATTGTTGCGGAAGTCTTCAAATTGGACGTGGTCTCTCAACCAATGACTTCCCAATCCAAACATGACAAAACACTGTGTCATGTACGAAATCGGTCTCACGACAGATCTAGACTGACTCAGTAGAAGTCCCGTTTCATTGAACGTTAAAAATAAATAAAACCAGAAACAATTACTCACAATAATACATGAACCGCAGCCTTCACTTTCAACAGGTTTCAAATGTATGAAACGGGTTTTTAAACGCTGGCTGTACAGCGTTTACATTCAACGCCTTTTTCCCCTTTTACAGGCTAAACCTGTTTTTACACTGATTTGTATAAATTCAAACACTGCAAGAACGATTTTCACATTATTCCTTTTCCCACTTCCTCAAAACTCCATAAGAATCAGTCCAAGACAGAACAAACAAAAATATGCGATCAAAGCATTGCTCTCCTTTTCTGATTTCCCATTTAAAGATCTTAAGACATTGTTTGAAGCAGCCTCTTCCATAATCTATCTTTACATTAAGTGAACAAATAGCCCCTAGGTTCAAGGGTCCAACTGCTGGTAGATGCAGTTTAAATAGGTCACATGACACCTGAGCCCCCCCCATCACCCCCTGGTACTTCTACAGAAACACAAGCTTCCAGTGAGCGCATACATGAGGATGGGTACGCATGCAAGTCTTTTTCAACAGTCCCTTGGCAACAAGAGGGAAGGGTGTTAAGTAGCAGTTGAGGGTCAAGCATATAGACACCAAAGAGAGGCCCAGATTGGGGGGTGGGGCATCACCTCACAAGCCACAGTATTCTCATGCTAATCACAGGATGGCCGTCCTGTTCCCGTGGGGATAAATGGAGTTGCCCCTGGCAACCCTTCCACTTATTTTTCCCTATTCAGCTCCTGCCCCTCTTTCGCACAATAGCCGACCCGCATACGCAGTGTGCCGCTCTTGTGCAAGTGCCAGAGTTGCAGGAACTCCTCAGGCATGGCGTGAAATCTCGAGGATGGGAGAATGTTGTCATAATAGTGGTGGCTGACCGGTCGCTCATTTAGCCCCACCGAAAATGGCCAAAAACCATACGTGGTCACCTCTTCACACAAGCCAAGGGCAAGGCTCACCAAGAACAACCCCGTGGAGAGCCGTTTGCCATGGACGCCGTGGTTCTTCCAGAATCGACCGACATTTTTAAGGAAGTCTGGATTAGCAAAGAGGACAGTCTGGCTGGAGGCGGTGTCTGCAAGGGTATGGTATGCCCGCAGGGAGGGGTCAGTGCCGGGCTTCATAGAGAATGCTGGTATGTAGATGTAGCTGGAACCATATGCCTTCATGCTCTCTACGAAGGATTTGCGGGACCAAAGCAGGTTCTGAAAGCTGATGAGGAAAAAGAGGAACGATAAGATAAGTCAAAATAGCCATAGGATATAGGATAAGAAGAAGATAAAAGGATCCTTATAAGATCATAATATCACTACTTTGGTTAGAGTGGATTTTGCCATTTTTGTGTCATGTTTCATGTTTGAAAACTATCCTTTCTGTAACAATTGTTTCATTTAACGATTGTTTTTATTTTGTAATTTTCACTGGCCACAATAGATGTTATGAATTCTTTGATGGGATTTTATTTTTTGATATAATCTAATTGTCAGTCCAACTTTAGCTCTATTTATACTGTATCTTCTTAGACATCCTGTCATTTCCTTGGCATTGAGTGAATAATAAAGTTATAATAAATAAAGTGCTTGAGATTGTTTCTGATATACCTTACAAATACTTGTAATACTAGGGCTACTCGATTATGGCAAAGATTTTAAAATCACAATTATTTTTGATCAATATTGAAAATCACAATTATTGGTAGGCGATGTGATCAAAGTCTTATTTCACAATACGAGTGATTTTTAATATCAGTGAAAATTGACAATTATCGATACTTCAGCAAAAACTAATACTAGCTTAACTAACGTAAGAAAAAGGTCCCCAATTACATAATACAAGTAAACAGTCAGCAATACAATAAGAACAAAGAAACTACTTACAAACAAAACTGACAAATAAATAGGTACAACAGAACAAAAATACAAATTAAATAAACAGTGTTTTAAGTTTTTCACGAAGATGAACTAACAGTGGTATTCAATCAAGTAATACCCTACAACACAAAATTGAATAATCAAATGTAAAATAACCAAGGGGGTAATCCATCGACCGGAAGTTGAAGCCGGCCGGGTGCCGCCATGTTGTAGCAGAACTTCACTTGCGTTAGCATTTCCATTGACTCCCATTCATTTTGGCGTCACTTTGACAGCGAATAACTTTACATCTGAGGCGTTTAAAGACTCCATTTGTCCATTATTTATTTCTAAAGAAACACGACAATCTATAAAGTGCTCCATTACCTTCTATGTTACATTATGGCGCCGTAGAAACAGTTTTAGTAAAAATAGGCTAACGATTGCGTCATAACCACTCGACTCTGTCGCGCTGTACAGAAATTACCGTACAGACAGGAGGAGAAGCTCGCAGGCAATCGGGGGGACGTCCCGTCAAGGGAGAAGCCCATAGATAATGAGTCCATAAAAGCAACGGAATACTTACTCCTGCTCACTCACGCCAAAGAACTCTTTGCTCAAGTTCCCCGTCTCTGCAAGATTAACGTTGGCAATTTGCACGCACAGCTACTAGAAGATTAACGTCTGTCAGACAGGTTGCTCACGTCATCAAGCTTAGTTTGAGTCGGTTTGAGTCTGCGCGTCAGGAACGGAAGTGCTCAGAAATCGCTAAAAATGGGCTTCAACTGTCTCAACTGAGTTCCAATGAGATGGCTCTGTCCATTTCTTATACTGTCTATGAAAATAACACTGCATAGTCTCACTGTACGCATGAAATATAGATTAATTCTTATTAAAGCTACTTAAGTTATTCAGTCAAAATCAGTGAGTGATTTTCCTTTGTTGTTTGATTATCATTAATGACAGACTGCAGCAGGTTTATTAGGCTGCTGTCACTTTAAGAGCTAATGCACAGATCCAATATACTGTTACACACGCGTTTTCTTTCTCAACCGTGTATGTTTACTTAAGACATAACCCACTGTGTTTACATAAATACTCTCCAATAAGGCATTTTGACATTTTATCCACGTTCAGCTCCAACTTGGAGCGTGCACACAGAAAGCCGACCTGGGGAACGGGTGTCTCTTTTGTGGATTAATGCGCTTTTAATAACACTGCTTAATATCAAACATGTCCCTCAGTTCACCAAAAGCAGACTACAACACTCACTTGTTTGGCTGATTTGGATGTTGAGTTTGGGCTTTTAGGGAGGAACGAAAGAACACTGCTGTGAAGGAAAGGAAGATGCGCTGGACAGAATGCGGCAGCGGCGCAATCATTTTTTTACCTCAATTATCTTCATTTCATAATCGATGTCAATTACGATTACAATTACGAAAATCAATTACGATTAATCGCATATTTGAACATGGTACTAACACCAATGCACTTGAGACTAGAGATCTCATGCCAGCTAATGCAAGTAGTAAAAGGGATAATCCACTAAGAAAGGTCAATATCCATCACTCAAGACATGTAGGCTGTTTGGTGAACTGAAAGTCCTTTTCAGACAATTCTGTCACGCTGTTTGCCGCATGCTACGGACTTCCCCAGAAGCCACAAATAGCTACCGGCGGTTTCACAATGAAGAATTATGAACTGTCAGACAACAGAATCCATTGTAATTGTAAAAATAAGTTGAACAAGACATGGAACAGTTAGAAAGAACATGGAATGGTAGAGTGAGAGAAGCATTATTTTACTACAGTCTTGCAGGTGGGACAAAGACAAAAACAAAATGCCAAATCAAAACAACAACGCAATTTATCCAACGTTTGACTTTAGAGATGGAAAGAATGGATTTATGTGTGCCCATAAATCCATTCAGAATAAATCCAAGATAATCATTACTAAATAATAATCAATACTAAAATAATAATCATAAAAAAAGTTAACAAACAAAAGCTAACAATTTCATATAAACAATTAATTTCAATATTTTTAATCAAATTCAGTAGTGCTATGGTGCTAGCTGTGACAAAAGCATATTGGTGTGCAACTATTATAAAGAAAAAATGCCACTTTGGAATCCAAATCATTGTTATTGGTATCCAATACGGAATTGTTGGTATTGAGATTAAATAATCATACCCCCCCCCCCCCTGAAAATAAAAAAAGACTAAATAAAGCGAGGAGAAGACAACATACCTCTTTTCAATAATGCTAGGATTTGCGCTCACCAGGTGTGTTCTGGTACCAACATCAGCGGTGTACTCTTTGGACAAGGGAGGAAGGTTACATCTAGAGGTAAAGGAGATGAAGAGGGATTGAAGAAAAATGGTTGTTGGGAGTGATGTTACTCTGTCTATGTCATAAGCAAAAACAACAAAGTCTTGGTTAAAAACAACAGTCTTACATTTCTTAATAAAATACAGTAATGAAAGTCACTGGTTTTATTGTGCGTGCGATTCATTAATGCATGCTATTTGTTAGATTCTTACATTTCTGCTGTTGTGTTCCACAAAAGAAAATATGGGTCTGGATTAAGGACATGAGCATCTAAATAATGACAGAATCATCAGTCTGCATAATCTAAACACTGCATGAAAAGTGGCCCTCCAGGAGCAGGATTGGACACTCCTGGGTTAGCACATAGCGACACACTCTAGCCCCTGGCTCACTGATACTCTTTCGAAGAAATCAAGAGACACAGCTGACATGAGCAAGTATCAATCTCTCCTGTCCTCTTCCTTTGTTTCTTTCAGCAATCATCAGTGACCGTTTTTTCTATGCCACACACCCACAACTAACCACTGCCTACATGCACTCCTCTATTCTTCTCTTACCCTCTTCTCCAATCCCTTAGACCAGATTCTCTCCAATATTCTGCAGGAGACTCCAACAATGTTACTCCTCTCACTCATGCAGGGAAAGTTGAAAGTCATGAGAGATGAGGTTATGACATAATTAAGCAGACTTGGGTAACCCACTACTCAAAAGTCAACACCTTACAGCAGTCAAAAATGACAGACAAGCCTCTCTCCTTCCTCTTCTGTCAAAACACCTGGGCATTTAATCAGTTCTAAGTTTTTCATTCACAAAACAAGCTATTTGATAACCAATCTTGCTTCAAAAGCAGACATTCCACCAAGACCACCTGCTGGGTTTCAATATATCTCTATAATGGCTGGCAATCGCTTTGCTGACTTATATACTGTAAATCAGCAGATCCTCCAGTCCAGCCACTCTGACCTGAGCATCACAGGTATGGTACTTTAGTGGTTTCAGTCTTACCTCACAGGCAGATCCTTCAAGATTTTCTGGAGAGGAGGGGTGTCTGAGTTAATCACTGGGGTGCCTCAAGGTTCAGTGCTTGGCCCGCTCCTTTTCATGATATACACATCCTCACTAAGCTTAATCAAAAAGGCACATAGCTTTTCCTGTGGAGATGATATGCCCACATGTTGTTGATATGCCTGTTGTTTCAACCTCAATGCCCAGCTTCCATCAATGCATAACCCTTCAGACAACTTGGCCTGGATATAGAAAAAGTTGGTCTCACTCCACTGTCTACTTGCCTAATACAAACTCAAGGATTTGATTCTGGCATTGAGGATTGCAACTGAAAATGGAGCCTCCTACCTCAATCCTACAAGTGTATGTTCCCTCCTGTGCAAAACCTTCCTTTACAATGAAGCCCTTTCACTCCTCTTAGATGGAACGAACTGCCTACCTTGACCCAATTTGCTGAAACCATCACTACTTTCAAGAAACAGTTAAAGTCATTCCTTTTCTGCAACCACATTCATAAAGAATATTACTATTAAATAAAAGATTTACTATTATAAAAGAGTTCTCTGCATTTCACCTTTGCTCTAGCTTGTGCACTAATATATTGTACATGCAAATTATGTTTATATGTAAACTTGACATATTCTGCAAATATTAGGGGTGTAACAATATATCGCAATACAAAAATGTGTCAACAATATGCATCATGTATAGCTCGCACAATATGAAAGAGACAGACAGAATTCAAGTTTTCAGAGTTTTAGTGTCAATAGTACTACATTAAACTGCTATATATAATGTTGAATACAATGCATAATAATGGAATATTTGTGGGTCCTGATTATCAAATGTCTTATGTTACCAGTAAAAAGTGGCATTATTTTAAATATATCTAGTCAGTGACAGAGTGCAAGCATATTCGTCTAAAATAATTCTGTATTTTCAGCTTCAGAATCATGAATAGTTTTATTCTGGTGTCACCACTGTCCCGTGCATTGGGTTTCCAGCACCAAGTCCAAGCCTATTCATTTTCAATGTAACACCAAATTTAGCATTTTAATCAACAGTACATTTTTTGTTCATCTTCTCACCTCATGATAAAGTCAGCTTGGTCAATTTCATTTCCACAACCACTGTGTTTCAGGACTCCTCCATTGCCCACAACCGAACACTTCTTTAGAGGAAGATGCAATGGTGTCTCCTAGCAACACAAAAAAATCGTGGGAGTTACACAAGTGGGTCAAAGAATAGAGAGTCATACACAAATTACATTTCCATTGGTTTCTTTTGATGAACACATATTCAAATCAAGGATACTTCAATATTCACATACTTCAAAGAGCGGTGAACCTGAGTGAAACTGAATCAATGAAAATGACCCTTTGTAAAACCCCCGGTGATCCATTAACATCACAGGCCAGCATTTCCATCTCACTCACATACATGTTGCACTCATCGTCAGACATTTTCCTTCTAAATGAGTTGTAGGATTTCTTGGGTTGAATCTACAAATGAAAACCAATTCTGACATTTTCTGGAAAAAATAGTCTGTTTGCCAGGTTTTAGAGTGTTGTGGGTAGTTGATACACTGGATCTAAAGGCGCCCTGAGTAGTTATTAGTGTATTGCAAAGTGGTTGCTAAGGTTTTCTGGGTAATTCCTATGGTATTGCTAGGTTTCTTACTGGTCCAAGCCAATAGAGCTTAGCTTGGGTCTTTTTATTTACATGTGTCGATACAGAAGTAATAAGAGGTGCAGCTACATCATTGGCTCTCTCACAGTTGGGAATATGGTTTCAAAAGTGGCTCATCCAGTCATAATTATGATGCATTACTGTTTGGAGTCAAAGGCTGAACCCTCTTTTTCCTTTATAACTGCTCTCTGTATTCATTTACTTAGTCTTTTTTTGTTAATTGTGATAACATTTATGTATAATATGATAATGGACCCCTTTTAATTATCTAGATGTTCGTATACGTCTATTGCTTTGGCAATATTTCACACATTCACCCCAATAAAGCTCATTTGAATTGGAAAAAATATATATATACATGACATTACCATAAGCATACGGTATTTTAACCTAAGCGAGATAAATGTGATGAATTACACCTGTAAATCCCACAATCAATCAATCGCATTCACTTTGAAACCAAAAATCCCTCATGAAAATGAAGCTCTTGTATGATCAAGTAGTGCTCTCTAATCTGGCATGAATGAGAAATAATGCTATGATAAACACATTACATGTTTTTTTTTTTTCTTCTGAAGATTAAAAGGTTAAATTCAATTACAGGAAGTCTGCCGTATGCGGACACTCTTGTTCTTCTGAAACCTAATACTGAGATTGACAGTGAGCAATGAGCATTGTGGTAAATATTTTAATGGGTTTTCTGGACACAAATGACCCATTATAACAAATTCTATTATAAAATTATTCAGAGGGGGAAAAAAAAGACATCGAGTCCATAGTAATAAGTCCTCATTACCCATAGATCTCATTGAATAATCACAGTGTAACTAGATTACAACGAGGTGGGGGCTTTTGAGAGTGTGTGTAGTAGGATATTGCTTTGCGCGTTTGTGTGTGCATCAATGGCCACATACACACTGCAGCTAAATTCGGTTTACAATTCACCCTTTTGTGCTGTAAAGACACAGTTCAGGTTATTTACAGAAAGAGCCAAAAAATGCAGGTAGTGACAACCGCATTTACAAAAAGTCTACGCAGTGCGTACGGAACCGAACTACTAATTCTTAATGACGTATGATGAGAGATGAGATACAATGATGCACGTTAAAATATGTATATAAAATAAGAGATGCATCTCTCGTCTGTATGTGCTATGAGCCTGAATCATGTTGCCAGATCTTGCAAGCAAATCAGCAAAAAAAAAAAACGAAATAAATGAAAATACTTTGTTGAAAATAAGACCGAAATATCGTGACCCGCAAAAGCTCACTTTAACTCTTTCCCCGCCATTGACGGAATTTTTCCAGCTTTCCATGGTTTCACTGTTATTCGGTAGGGGGCGCTATGACGCATATTCTGAAAGAGTTCTGAATCTACTGATCAAAACGCATGCGAAGCAACGCAGAAACAAGCGATAGCACATGTAATCATATGCATATGTAAAATAACGCAATCATCAACATTAAACAGTATATAAATCAAAACTGCCTAATGTTACTGAATGAAATGTCGACTAAGGACGAGGTACAGGACTGTGCAAGATTTGGGGGTGTTGACGGACTCGATCTACTCCAACTATGTTTTGGATCATCGTTCTGAATCCCATCCTGACGTAGTCTATGACAAAAAAGTGATTTTCTCAGCTTTTTGTTCAAAATGTTGCCTTTATGAAACTCACCCACATTCAAGTGTTGATTCAAAAAAAAGAATGCATGAAGCTAGAATAAAATGGGTTTTTGTTTTAAAGCGCTGGCGGGGAAAGAGTTAATAACTGCATAAACTGAAGCAGAAACAACAACCCCCAAAAAAGCTTATGATAAGTGGACACTGTAACACTGCGAGAAGCAACCTCTACAAACATAGAACGATAATTTAGGGGATTCACTCCTGCATTTAATTGCGGTTTTCACTCCGGAAACTTTACAGTGTGTATTTGGCAAAAAATGAGCGTGGCTCTGAGACAGTGTAGGAGGAACAGACAGTGTAGGAGGCATGGTGCCAAGTACAGGACAATCAGGACCCATGCGGGTGGCTCTCCCATGCCTGTTTATTTTTAGAAAGCAGAGCGCAGCGCTGAGCCTCATGGAGAGTGGGGGTGGAAAGAAAGAAAAAAAATTCTGGACCAACTGCTTCTCTTCCAAACACTTCCACATTCATTGCTACAGTTTATAGCGAAGAAAAAGAAAAATCATTTTATCTGTGTTAATTCGGGTTACTGTTAGAAGCTACGTGGGACTTTTTGGGCTCACTGGGTTCTATGAAAGACAGTACCTGGACAAATAACGGGTAGGTTTCATTGTTGACCGTGTGGTAATGGTAGATCTCCCCATCATACCACAAGACTTTGCCTATTGGAGAGTTCTCCTTAGTAATCGCAAACATCTTCTTTGGATCACAGCATTCTGTCAGCATCTTCCTGCCGAACAAGACAAAAAAGCAAAACAAGTGAGATTAAGCAGAAGTAACAACAGAAATGGGCTTGTGAAAATGTCCTTTCTAATTGACCGAGAACAAGCACACATTCTTGAAAGCATAAAGTCTTTCATTTCGCAGAACAATTGCTGTTCCATTACACAAACTAATTTGATGACCCAATTGAAAGCAAGCACAAACGGAAAGCATGCAGGCAAAAGAGTATTCAAATGAATCATTTTGGCATCCGCTGTCCAAACAGGTTCTAGTAATGTTTCACAGCAGGCCTTTTGGATTGTGATCAACAGATTTATTTATGATTTAAAGGAGAACTCCGGCGCAAAATGAACCTTTGGTCTAATTACACATTGTTACCTAGTCAACCGTTATCTGAGATTTGTTTTCATGATTATCGAATGTAAATAGTTTTATCTCTAAAAACAGTTTAGCCTATAAAGCTAGTATAACGCTAGTATATTGGGCATAGTGTAATGACAAATAAAAATCGCCTGTTAATACCACTAACAAGGCTGAAAATAGCCCCACACTAACACGGTAGCATAATGAGGGTCCCTACCTTCAAACCGAAGCATTGAGAACTTTGTCAGTGTCCAGATAGTTTAATAAGAAGATATTTTAAACATACAGTCAACTTCGCGTATACAGGCAGAAGCCATCTTTGAAATACAGCCTTTACCAGTCGATCTACGAACGCCGATCCAAGTGCGCTGGTGAGATGTGAACGAGCTATAAGTTGTGATAAGGTGAGCGCGAACAGCAGGCTTGGATCGGCGTTCGTAGATCGACTGGTAGAGACTGTTTTTCAAAGATGGCTTCTGCCTGTATACGCGAAGTTGACTATGTTTAAAATATCTTCTTATTAAACTGTATGGACACTGACAAAGTTCTCAATGCTTCGGTTTGAAGGTAGGGACCCTCATTATGCTACCGTGTTAGTGTGGGGCTATTTTCAGCCTTGTTAGTGGTATTAACAAGCGATTTGTATTTGTCATTACACTATGCCCAATATACTAGCGTTATACTAGCTTTATAGGCTAAACAGTTTTTAGAGATAAAACTATTTACATTCGATAATCATGAAAACAAATCTCAGATAACGGTTGACTAGGTAACAATGTGTAATTAGACCAAAGGTTCATTTTGCGCCGGAGTTCTCCTTTAATAAAAGCTGTGTGATACTGACATGAATCACTTTACAACTGTTAACATCAATTTCAAACCAAAATCTAATGACACACACACACACAATATACCAGTCAAAACATTACTATTTTTTATGTTTTTGAAAGACGTCTCTTATGCTTATCAAGCCTGCATTTATTTGATCAAAAATACAGAAAAAAAACAGCAATATTGTGAAATATTACAACAGTTTAAAATAACTGTTCTCTACTTTAAAACGAAATTTATTTATGTGATGCAAAGCTGAATTTTCATCAGCCATTATTCCAGTCTTCAGAGTCACATGATCCTTCAGATTTCATTCTAATGCTGCTTTATTATCAATGTTGGAAACCATTGTGCTGATTAGTTTTTTTTTTTAATATCCTGTGATACTTTTTTCAGGATTTTTTGATAAATAAAAAAGGTAAAAAAGAACAGCATTTATTTAAAATAGAAATCTTTTGAGACAATATTCTCTACCGTTCAACTGTTTGGGGTCAGTCATTTTTTTCTTTCTTTTTTGTGAAAGAAATTAATACTTTTATTATTCAGAAAGGATGTGTTAAATTGATAAAAAGTGATAGTAAAGATTAATATTGTCAGAAAAGATTTCTCTTTTGAATGTTTTTTTAATTTGTCACACGTTATTTTCTGACATTACTTTAAGGTCAATTATAAGTACATTCCCCAATAATTACTTTTTTTCTATTAAAAATTACCATGTCTAATGGCGTTTCGCATTACTGAAGCATTTTTTATTTAAATAGCAATCTATTATTAAATCAAACTAGGAAGCACAACACATTTTTTATATAAAAACTTTACATTTAAAATATATTGATTGCGAACATTTTTTTGATATTTTTATGTTGTACATTAATGGTAATAAGAATTTGGAGGGAAAATGTGCCTAATGGTTATGAACACTGCAAAACAACCATAACGTCCATAAACTATGCTTCGCTTTCTTTGTAAAATATAATTCAATACATCAATCATGAGATTGACCAAACAGAATCAACCTCTTTATGACGTCACAATGGTCACCCTTTCTGGGAAGTCAGAGCGGGGACAGATAACGTTTCAAACAAATCTTCCTCCACTGCGCATGCGCGTTCTCATAATCGGTTTTCCTGGGAGATGTCTGCACGAGTCTGCAATACTCATATCAGCATGAAAGCCAGATTACGTGTACGAGACACCTAGTGCAACCAATCCATTTACTTAGTTAAAAAGACAACTGAGATTAAAACTCATTTTATGTATGATAATGACCTTGCTCATCATAGATGTTTGAATAAAATGAATGAATGAAGATATTAAACGAATGGAAATACCTGTACAGATCTACTCCCGTTTGGTTTCTGCTCCATGTTTGTCCCTGCCGCAGAACCTCATCCACCATTTCCTTGTCACTGGGAAGCTTATACACGGGGAAGATATAGAGCCACAACAACGCCAGCACTCCCAGAGTGGCCCATATATACCTGCTCCTGTGACATCTCAAAGACACCATTCCGTCGGTCTGATCAGACAAACGCCTAGTACAAAAGCACGTCCTCACGACCGACAGGTTTATTTTGGTGCCACTGCCATTAGGAGCAAAGAGCCGCTTGAATACCGTTATCCTCCTATTTCCATAACGCGGCGTTACAGCGGCCAACAGCTAGAGGTGCATCAGTGTCAGATTTTCATGCATGCATGCCTCAAATTTCTCCTCATTCCCAGCTGATTTTACTGAAGAATGTTCTCAATCACGGGCGGGATGTGGATGTGGTCGGTTCCGTCTGGCCAAGCGGTTGGAATCTCACGGGGTTTTATACGGGATCCAGATATCTTCTCCTCCCATCACTTCTAATGCAAACCGTCTTGAACTCCCCAACAAATCTGATGCCTGCGCTATCCGGCTTCATTTCGCCTTTATCACCGCATCACGGTCATCATTTCGCTGTGCAAATAATTTTTTAAAGGCCTTCCCTCCCAATCTGGCCGTGTCGGATGTAATCTTCCGAATAAGTGAGAGACAAAGCTCAGTTTGTAGCGAGTGCTTTGGCACGCATCATTGCCCTCATTTGTTATGGTGCTGCCCCCTTCTGGTTAATCTAGTCACATGACAACGGATGTGTAGCCTAGCGGATTTACTGAGCTGATTACACCGCATGTTGCCTACTGTAAACAAATAGTATACACGAATTATCAAAAACATGCTTCATTTTTTTCAAATATCCTAACTTCTGTTTAACATTATTGTTGTTTATCCATGTTTGTGTTAAACATCTTTTTGGCAGTTAAATTAGGCCTAAATAATGGTTTAAGATGAAGGTGCAGATGTTTAAAATAATACCGAAATACACGAATGATATATAATATATAAATATGAATATATTTTGAGTCATTCTACAATTCATGTCCATTGATAATTATATATTTTTTCTAATAGTTTTCTAGAAATGGGGAAAGCATATTATAATCTCTCACAGATAATTTGCACACAGTAAAAAAAAAAGAAAAAGAAAAGTTCTTAATTGGCATATAGTTCCATGATGAACCTTTCATTTCAAAGGCTCGTTAAATGTTCTTTAGATTATTCAAATGTTCTTCACACACACACACACACACACAAAGTGTGGCGTTTGCAAGTTTGCATTAAAGATTTACAGGCTGAAACTCGTGACTACATGCAAAAGAAAATGGTCTGCAACATTCTAACAATGTTTTGTGCATCCTCGTTTCCTTTCCCCGCGTCTCAGTTGCACCCCCATTGGATGCGAGGGAAGGTGGCAAGGAAAGAAAATGAGGACGAAGCAAAGCTTATTTGTATATTGGAATATTCTTGATGACTCGAGCGTCACTTCACTGAGTCATCAGCTGCGCTCAAAGGATCTGCCCATATGTTGTTAAAGTTTGGTTATTTAAAGCTGCAGTCCACAGTTTGTCCTCTTCGTCGCCATCTCTGTTCGAAATCTGCAATTGCAGTTATTCGCGGAATTATCAACTTTACGTGAGTTGTGCCTTGGCATGGCACAGCACGGATAAACACAATGGGTGCTTCTCAATATCCCTCCTCGTCTCCTCGATCCTCCGTCCTCCATCCTATGACCCGGAAACCGATCGAGCTCAGCCATCTTGAAGGACATCTCAATTCTCTAATTGCACCGCGAGGAGGCGAGGATCGAGGAGTGAGGAGGCTTCCAGAGGAGCTATGAGCGAGGATGCACAGTTGTATGCTTTGCGGAAGTGTTTTATCGACTAAACGTGACGCACGTATAAATTCTCCTTCCCCTTCACGTCGGTCACAATCATTTTAATTTATACTTTACCTTTGCAGTTTATATAAACCACACATCTCACATATTTCAACAGGGTATCTTGCTTTATTATTATTTATTACTAATTTCTTAAATAACCAAACTTCAACAACATAAGGGCAGATCCTTTGAGCACTGCTGATGACACAGTGAAGTGACGCTCGAGTGATCAAGTATTCCAAAGTATAAAAAAAAAAAACTTTCATTCGATTCCTCTGTCCTCCTTTTCTGTCCTTGCAGCCTTCCCTCGCATCCTGCAGGGGGTGGAGCTGAGACACGAGGAAAGGAAGCGAGGATGGACAAATAAGAATTGAGAAGCACCCAATGTTTGAGGAGAGTGTGTGGCTGTCAGTCACCGCACCGGTGTGGATACTGTCATTCAGAATCACAGATGATTCTTTTTGCAAGTATGACCAACATAAGGATTTTCACTGGAAAATGTCATCTGAACAAGTAACATCCACTTTTGTTCTGACCAACTAAGGGGAAAAAAGCATTGCAGTAAATCGCGCTGATTAAATCTAACGATCACTTATCAATTCACGTCAAACCGTGCAAATTATACTTTATTCTCAAATTGTTAATGTTAACAACATCAGCATTGCGTGACTACATTTAATGCCCTTCTGACATTATCCTTGTTTTCGCATTGGCAGGTTGCTTCAGCGACGATCATCTTCTCTTCGCTGACACTCCGAGACTGAAGATGCCTTTTCGCCATCTGAGGAAGCCCAGCAGCGGATCAAGTTGACTCAGCGCGCCGGCGACTCTGCAAGCAAGAGGATTGACGCGCTGCACGCAAGCTGATTCAGCGATCTCCCCTGCAGCTAATCGTCGAGTTGAAAAGAGCAAATTCAAAGCAAAATTCCAGCTGCGTTATTGCAAATGCCGCACCATGAGTGTGCCTCTGACGAGCACTATCTGGGAAAATCCCACGCAAAAGCGCGTTCACTGAGACTGATTGCTCCCATTGCGAAAGCATGAGTCTTGCCTCTCTCCACTCGCTTTCTTTTCAGAGAGTGGCTCAACCCCTCGTGCTCACCCGTTCATGCCAGCGCAGGTCCCGCGTGCCGCCGCCTCCTCCCCACAAAGAGAGGTTTCCCCTTTGTTCTTTCTACACGCAGACCAGCGCCCCTCTTCTGGCGTGAGAGGCCTGGTCTCGTTCAGGGGATCTGAAGAGGATTTTCCTGATGACAGCATGTCATTAGTGGCTTCAGACACGGAGGGCTGGTCGGGCTCGCTAGATGACCCTGGATGAAACAGCCCCCTGCCATCTAAGGATTCGAGCGACTCTAGAGCTGGGATGGATGCCGAGTTAATCCACGTCCTCTAAAAAGCAGTTGAGGAGCTCGAATTAGAGAGGTCTACCCCTGAGGAGCCCACACGCACCCGCTTGGACGAATGGTTCCTGCCGGGGCGTCAGCAGGCCCTTCGTCAGAGAGCAGCACCGTTCTTCCCAGAGGGCCATGACGAGCTCACCAAGTCGTGGCGCGCCCCCTACCAGGCTTACATTCGTACTTCTACCTCAACCGCCCTAACCGCAATTGACGGTGCTGACGAAAAGGGCTACGAGAAGCTAACTCCATTGGACAAAGCCGGAGCCGCGCACCTCTGCCTGCCCACAGCGATCGGATAGAAAGCGAAGGTCGTCCGTCCAAGACCAGTAGGACCACCTCCGTACTCGCTGGTCGTGCCTACACCTCAGCTGGACAAGCAGGTGAGAAAACACTCAAAGTATCTGCAGATGCATCATCATGTGGAGTGGGAGCAGTCCTGCTCCAAAAGAGGGCGGTGATTGGAGACCTGTTTCCTACTCCGGTCTCTTACTCCTGTGGAGCAAAGATACGCACAGGTAGAAATGGAGGCTTTGGGGCTGACCTGGGCATGTGAGAGATTTTGTGAGTTTTTGATTGGCCATCTGGAATCTCCGAGGTGGCAATGAACTGGATTGCCCTACCGCCCACCATCCAACGTTTCCAGAGGACACTGATGCACAATTCTTACAATATTTCTCATGATATGAGAGGACAGTTGTGAAACCTAAAAGACTGGGACAAACACGCGCACACTCTGGAGATTATTACGTGAAACGAAACAATATCCAATCAGAAAGCAAGCTGAGAGAAGACGGAATCATAAACAGCGCAGCACAAAGTTAAATGGATTTGGACAGCAAAGATGGAGGATCAGCTTGTGTGTTTATACAACTTGCCATGTAAAACATACCACAATAGACTTTACAAGGAGAAGAGTTGGTCAGAAATAGCTTCTGCAATGGATGTACCAGGTAGCTAACCAAACAGCAACAGAATAGGTGTGTGTGTGTGTGTGTGTGTGTGTGTGTATAGGCTTACTGTGTACAGGCCACCAGGGCACCATACAGACTTTATCATAGAATTTGCTGACTTTCTATCAGAGTTAGTACTGGCTGCAGATGAAGTCCTAATTGTTGGTGATTTTAATATACATGTAGATAATGAAAAAGATGCTTTGGGATTGGCATTTAAAGATAATCTGAACTCTATTGGAGTTAGACAACACGTGTCAGGACCTACTTATTGTCGTAATCATACTCTAGATCTAATATTATCACATGGAATCAATGTTGATGCAATTGAAATTCTGCAGCAGAGCGATGACATCTCAGATCATTATCTAGTCTCGTGTAAACTCCATTTAGCCAAGGCTGCAAACCGACTCTGTGTTAAAAATATTTTAGACCTATCACTTCTACCACTAAAGATTGCTTTATTAATAATCTTCCTGATCAGTTTCATCATCTCAGCATCCCAGATATCTTAGAAGAACTCGATATTGCGACAGAAACTTTTAACTCTCTTTTCCAGCACTTTAGATACAGTTGCTCCATTGCGCTTAAAGAAGATTAAAGAAAATAGTCCAACGCTGTGGTACAACGACCACACCCGTGCCCTTAAGAGAGCAGCCAGAAAAATGGAGCGCAACTGGAAGAAAACTAAACTAGAGGTATTTTGCATTTCATGGAATGAGAGCTCGATTGCAAACAGAGAGGCCTTAAAAGCTGCTAGATCTGCTTATTTTTCAACCCTATTAGAAGAAAATAAACAAAAGTTAAACCCTAGGTATTTATTTGAAACAGTTGCTAAACTAACGAAAAATAAAGCTTCAAGCCCAGAAGTTTCCAAGCAGCACAACAGTAATGACTTTATGACCTTCTTCACTTATAAGATTGATAATATCAGGGAGAAAATTATAACTATGCAACCGTCTACTATAGCATCGCATCAGGGAGTGCATTCTAGTCTCCACAAGGAAAAATTCAATTCATTCATTGATATAGAAGAGGAAGAATTTTCTAAACTCGTTAAATCATCTAAATCGACAACATGTATGTTAGACCCTATACCGACTAAGCTATTGAAAGAGATGCTTCCAGAGGTCATAGATCCTCTTCTCAATATCATTAATTCGTCTTTGTCACTAGGATACGTAACAAAAACATTTAAGCTGGCTATGATTGAACCACTTGTTAAAAAAACGCAACTTGATCATACAGAATTAGTCAATTACAGGCCGATCTCGAATCTACCTTTTCTGTCAAAGATACTAGAAAAGGCATTATCCTCACAACTATGTTCCTTTTTTAGAAAGAAATGATATTTGCGAGGATTTTCAGTCAGGATTTAGACTGTACCATAGTACTGAGACAGCTCTCATCAGAGTCACAAATGATTTGCTCTTATCATCCGATCGTGGTTGTATCTCGCTATTGGTGTTACTCGATCTTAGTGCTGC